AAAAAAAAAGGTTGATGACGCAAAAAGTTGAGGAGGTTATAGAATGAATTGTTAATATCATCTCAGCAGCAGGGACACAATTAATCAACCCTGATTAGCCAACACCAGTGGTCTTATCATCCCAAGATGCACTTGGCAGAGCCCCACACACCAAATCATGCCTCAAATGAGCACTTGTGACACCAGCCACAGGGTCATAAAACACCCTCATGATTTAGTCTGGGCGTTTTCCCCAACCAGTCCTCTGATGGACGCCCTCTCCAAATAACTTGAGTACTAGTCTAGAATATGAATCAATCTCACTCTGTGGAAAAGGAAGGAAATACACTTGAGCTACCCGCTGCTGGTAAAGGTTGGGGGGAAAAGTGATCCATTTATACCCTTACCCCCTTCCCATGCAGCATCAATCATAAAACCTTATTTTGTAAATGATTCAAAACTTGAAAGGAAATGCCAACTAGGACCTATCATTATGTCTGATGAAAGTACTGTACTGTACCAGCTACAACTACTGCATAATGAAAAAAAAACAAAAATGGACACTTTCTACAATAAACCCAAAGAAACAACTAAAAGCATATACAATTATATACAGATAAATAAGGAGAGATGAATATTTTGGATGGTTTAAAACATTTTTTTCACAACCTTATAATGGTTCTATCAAGGTTTTCATGCAATTTTGGTTCTTTGTGTACTGTAAACTATTATTTCAAGCAGAGTATCATTCTTTATTTGTGAAATTTGAATTTTGATGGAGATTACGCATGCGTGCGGAAAATTTAGTACAATCTTAAGTGCTTCTAATTTGAGTATCAAAATTTGTTTAAAACAGACACACCGTATGGTAAGTCAAACAAAATTCAATACTGAATAAAATAAGGCCTCAGGAGATTTTAGAACAGAATATAAAATTTCCAAATCATCTTAAAAGAATAATAAAATATACAAGAAAAAAATTCAAAATTATCTTATCAGTCTCTGCTGGAGGATGCACTAGCCTGGAAAAATGAGACAGTACAATTGTGAGTTGGTTAATTTTCATTTCTGTCAGAGAATTTGTTCAGCCAGAAGAAATATGGTGTGAGAAGTTGATCAAAAGTCAATAATAAATCGAAAAAGGCTGATTGATGAGATGTTCAAGATATAAATTCAACACTACAAAATCTTCCGAAAATAATTAAAACTCAAAATTTCCTGATCAAGGATTCGAGGTTTCAAACGCATGGAAAAATTTAGTTATATTGTAAAATAGTGAGTGGGTTTAAATCAAAAGTCGCAAAACTTGCATCATACAGATGTACACTATGAAAAGATGAGCAAAAGCTGATATAAAATCGAAAAAAGGCAGTGTGAAGTTTTAAAATTTAATTTCAAAAACTCATCCCAAATCCTCAAAATGTAATATCCAAAGAAGATCTGAAAAATGGCTTCATCAATCACTATAGAGGATACACAAGAATAAAAATTTAAAGTAAAATTTAAAGTGGGTTTAAATCAAGTCCCAAAACTTGCAGAACACAGCAGTCATAACCTAAGAGGAGTTTAAAACAAAGTTAACATGAAATCAAAAAGGGCGCAGAGTAGAAGCTTTAAAAATCCATATTCGAAAACTCCCAAGTTCTCTAAAAAAAAATCAATATTCAACAAAAAAAATAAAAAAGAGGCCAAATTGTCTCATCAATTACCAGTCACAGAACCAGAAAAAAGCCTAATCTCGCAAGTGCGACGGGCAGAAGAAGAAATAAGAAGGCGTTTCCCCCCCGCTCAGGGCCACATGAGTTGTTCAGAGGTTATTATCCCCCACCCCTCATCTGGGCAAAGGAAAAACTAGAAACCCACCATTTAATGACCTCAGAAATAAATCAACCGCAAGAGAAGAGGAACCACACAGCCAACGCCCAGTT